ATTAGATTGGGATTATCTGTCATGAAAGCATTGAGTGATTCGTAATTACAACGAAAAAAAACCGCGTATCCACATATAAGTAGACGTAGTTTCCCACAATCTCAATTGAATTGTATCGCAGTTATACATATGCTTACGAAAGAAGTCTCGCGATCACGCGTGGTTATGATAAAGTGTTGTATTTACGCGTAACTACACTGACACGTTTCGCAATAACGAGCCAGACTGATCGCATTACGACCATAACTACACTAAAATCGATTAAAGTCGAGCCGATCAGTCGTTATTAATAATCTCAGTTTAGAATACTAGATAGTGCTGTGATTTACTCTAATAGTTTTTGTGGTGTTATGTTTAATATATTATCAAACTCGCACACTACGCAAAAACAGTAGATTTTGGCTAACACGCTCGACTTGGGCTCGATTGTGACTGAAGCCTGAAATTTTTCTAAGAGTTTAGAAATATTCATTGAAAGAGGTATAAAACGAAATTCAAACAAACAGAAAATCCACGGTTAACTGTGTGTGTCAGATCAAAGTAACTAATCAACTTTGGTCAGTTGGTTAACAAGACATGGACACCAAAGTAGTTTTTAATTATTATTCGATTGTTTAAAATTTGCTTTATTTATTCAACAAATGTCGCATTTGCAACATACAATAGAGTGATAATAAGAGACAGAACAAGTAAAGTTTTATAATACACTATAAAGATACACTATGTCAGAAAAATGAAGAAATAGTTAGTTAAACATATATTGATTTTTAATTAAATATCGTATTTCTCATGTTTGACATAGTAGACTTAACCATATTGTTTATTTGAAGTATGGCACAAGTGCTAGCGATAAACATGTTACGAAATGGCATATCATTGCTCAATTAAATGTTGAATTACACTTTGGGAATGGTTTAGCTTTTGTAGCTTTCCAACCGTACATTCTTGGAAATTCGATACTTGGAGTATATTTCAATTAAGAATAAAATTGATTTTGTGGCCTGTGTTGTTGGAGAAAGCGAAATGGCATTACAAACGCATTTAGAAAAACCGATGTATGAAAATAACCGAAATAATGAGCTGAGTAAAAGACACGATTCTTTGCGATTGATGAATATATTAATACTTAGTTAATTATATTTGTAGCTTAGTTATGCATCTTCTTTTTTAGTTTTCTCTAGTTAATTTCTATTACTAATATAACTCTAAAATTAACTAAACCACGGGTCACTTATGTAGGGAACAAACTACAGGTTTGCTGTATTAGTAATGATACTTACGTGGCAGTTGTTATGAACAATATCTAAGGGATTTCTCATAATATCTTGTTTCCAGTTGGATGCATTGTTTTAGATGAGCTTTTTCATTAATAAACTGACAATACTGGTAACGTGATTGAAACTGTATTAGACTTTTTCATCGTTGTTAATGATTGCTAACTAAATGACCAGTATTAATAATCAGTATAATTCAGAAAGGTTCAACAAAATAATGAGGTATGATTTCCTCATTGTGAAATATATCGAACCATTATTACAAAACTTGACTTATAGCTTGTATTGTTTGATAATGGCAGGCAGAAGAATATAGTTCATTGCAGCTTGATTTGTATAAGGTTTGACTGATTGATTTTTTTTGCCTTGAAATATCACAGCTACACTGACAACGCACAAATGACTAGGACATGGAATGTAAGGGGATATACAAATCATAATAAAGCTGCTGATTTTTTGATCGTATTCATTAACAGTTATTTGTAAGATTCTAAATATGAATGGCATAAAGCTATGTAGCTATGATAACGAGAACTAAATCAATTCACATATAATATTAATGTGACCTTTGACACTACTACATGAACGAAAAAAATGAAAGAAGTGAGATATATATATAGAGTGCACGACTTACCGACCGCTGATTTACTATCCGTTGATTAGATAAAATTCATTTCAATTAACGAATTTTTGGTGTGATGATTTACTGTCCGTTGATTGAAAAAAAACATTATTCCAATTAATGTTTTTCGTGTATGAGGATTTACTGTTCGTTGATTAATATGAGAGAGAGAAATGAAATGAAAAATTCATAACGACAATCAACAAAAATTTTCCAAACGAAAGAAATAATCATCAATAAGCAAATAAGGCATTCAATTTCTGATTGTGAATAATTGTGCATGAGTAGTACTTATTTAATTAAAAGAAAAAATAATCATTATAGTACTAGTTTTTGTGAAAATATATATAAAAGTGAATATGTCGAATCTTGTTTGCCTATTTTTCTTCAAAATGTCTACTAAATTTGTTGAATCGACACATGGAAAACGACAATTATGTTATAAGGGTTATCGCTATTGTTTGAAATGTAAAAATCAAAACAGTTCTGAATATTGGTCATGTGTCAAATGTCAAGCAGCAGCAACAAGTTATTCAGATTCTACTGTCATAGAACGTGGTGAGCACACACATTTACCAGATGAAACTGATAAAGATATATTAGAAATGCGACAAAATTTAAAGCGCAAAGCTGTTGAAGAATTTGGTCCAATAAATATTATGATAGAAGAAGCATTTCATGCAATTGATCACCAATGGCAATCAAAAGTTATTTATTCATATATTTACTGTTGATTTTTTTGTTCTTATTCACATTGATTCTCGTTATGAATATTCACTTCATTTCTCTCTCTCATATTAATCAACGAACAGTAAATCCTCACCAACAAAAATTCCAGTTTTTCAAGGAAAAATTCAATTAAAATAGAAAATCAATCAACGATCAGCAAATCCGCGGTCGGTAAATCGTGTAAACCATATATATAGATATATGTATACAGAGAGAGAGAAAACAAGAAAAGCCCATCGTTCTTGTACAGATATTTGTCATCCCTCAATCTTTTACGTAAATATGACTGAAAACGAACTATATGAATAATTACCATGAAGAGGAAAAAACATTGTTGATATGAGATATTATATTATAATTTTACTTTAATATAGTCAGTAGCGTAGCTACGGGCACGGCCATCGTGTAATTACCGACAAATTCAAACCTATTAGTTCATGGATTTGTTTTCAAATGATACCAATTATTAAATACCAAAAAATTTTCATGCACATAAATGTACAAAGACCTAAGTCATATCATTTTAATACATCCTATCTTCTTGTGATATAATCAAGTGATCCACAAAGATCCACTGATTCTTTTTTCTATTAAATCGATGCTCACAATGATGACAACTGATTGGTATTTCTTTTTCAAAATATTTTTTATTACACTTAAATTTACTAATGGTTTCATTTGTGCTTATTTATACTTTTTGATATCATATATTCAAATATTTGAAAATTGAAGACTATATTTCTGAAACAAAGAGTACAAAAAAAACGAACGAGCTTGACTGCTAGCAGAGTTTGAATCGGTAAGAAAATTATAAAATGATCTGGTTCGGTCGGTTGGAATCACATGTCCTACCAGTGAAATTTCAGCAAAAACCGGCGAAAAAGTGGCGAATTTTTTTGAAAAACGGTATTTTAGAAAGAATGGCTCCAAATATGAAGTAGTTTAGGAGTGTATATAAAAGACACTCATCATAATGAGTCTTATTAAAGAGAACCTCAGAATAAATGATTAAATTAAGACATGTTTTGAGCACTTTTTCTACATATTCTGACAGAAACACATATGACATCTTAGTTTTTATGGCCAAAAAACTGTTGACAAAGACTTTTCAAAACTTTTAACCGATAAAATTACCGTCACTACCAGTCCGGTTGACTTCTTCAATCGGTTTCAGTCCTGGTATGAGTGCAGGTAGTTGAAAATTATATGTTTTCTCATCAATCTCCGAAGAAATTCGGCTGAGAACAAGTATTTTAAAAATACTTTTACAAAATTTCAATTCATAATGAAATGCGATTAAAACTTTTAAAAACCCTGTGGAAAAGATATGGTTAATGTTTACAATTCATGAGACATTCCTATTTTGTCAATGGGATATCGAGAATATTCTAGATGATTAGCGTAATCGTACCTTGTCTCTAGGTGAATATATTAATGCAAAGGACACGCGAAAATCAAAAAAATAGTTTTTCCTGAATGTTCTGCTTTTCTCATCTAAAATATGTATCTTCGAATTTTATTATCAAATCGTCTGGTTATGCCTATGCATGATAAATAAAAGCAACAAAATTAAAAATACAAGGTACACAATACTATACGATGCGAGAATCAACGACAACAAGTCGTTTTTTATTCCAACTTTGGTGCATTGCCAACAGTTTTGAAAGGCTTCCTATACATATATCGATAATGCATCATTTCATCTAATTGATAGCAAAAATTGTAAAACATGTTTTTGAAAAAAGAGAGAGCAAAATGAAGATATTTTCAAAATTTCAACAGGTGAATTTCCGGTTTTTACCGACCCGGTTCCAACTCTGAGTCATAGTTGAGAGTAATGAACTTCTCTTCAAGAAACATCGAGTTTTGTGTTGGCAATAAGTTTAAAAAATACTGTCATATGTATAATCAACAAATGACTACATACGGATAAGTTTTCGCATAAAGATGGAAGTCTAAACACCAGTGAACTTTCACTACAACTACCGCTATCTAACAACAATAGAAAAGATGCTCGTTCAGCAAACCGTTAGATAATTATTAAATACAGTAAGCAATTGTAAATTTCTGGTGCCACTTTTCTATTGTACAAGCTTATTTTTGACAAGCGCTACTTTTGGTCCTTCTCAGTCGATCAAATTAGCATTTATCACGCAATATTTGTTCTACAATTCATCCGATGAACTATTATCTATTTATTTTTTTCAAATCAAATATCTGCATAATACATTCATTTCCAAGCTAAACAATTAATTAGATTACAGTTTATTCATGATTACAAATATATAATCTAATTGTAAAATATAAAAAGTATACATGACACTATGGACCAAATAACACACAGATAATCATTAGAAATTAGAAGAAATTGTAAATCATTTTTTTCTCTCTAAACAATAAAGAAACATTTCATCAATATACGACAGAAAAAAAAAGAATTTCTTACTGGTTGAATTTGCTTGTTGAAGTTGATTTTTTAATCGAAGTAGTTCTTGTTCATGGTCGAGTTTAGCATTTTCCATTTCGACCATATATTCATCTAGAAAAAAGGAATCAGTATAATAATATAAATTTCATTATTATAAATTTACTTTTTACTAATATAATTCTTGTTTCATATTCAATAATTTTTTCTTTCATAATTTTTTCCTCAGCTTGTTTATCTTCTGCATATTTTTGTTCAGTATTAGCTTGCTTTTCAAGAAGATTATCATACATTTGTTGTAGATCATTTAACTGTTTTGTTAATTCATCATTTGAAATTTGTTTTTCTGTCATTTCGTTAATAGCTTGATTTGTGAATTGTTGTTCATTTTCATTTTTAAAATCTTTAAGTTCTTGTTGAAGTTTTTCATTTACTTGTGTTAAATTTTCCGTCTAAATAAAGAGAAAAGAAAACTGTTAGTGTAATCCATACAGGATTAAAATGTGAAACATGATGTAGCTGCTGTTGCTAATCACAATGAAACTACTTAATGTATCTATTTCAAGACACATTTCTTCACCATCCTTTCACTTAAGCTTTCAGAAATGCAGTGAGAAAGTAGTTTATATATTATAACAAAATGTTATCGATATATGGTCTTTGATTGTATATCAATAACATTTGCCATGGTCTATGATAAAGGAGAAACGTTGCTAGGATGTATGTCATAATTGTGATCAGCCGTTTCTAATGTGCCTGTCACGGTTAGAGGCGTAAGCCAATGCATTGATCTGCAATGGCTGGAATTGTTAGATGAAATTTTGAAATGTAAAAAAAAGTGACAGTAGAGATCTTAATGACAATAAACGAAATAGTAACACCTGAAAAAATTCATTTAAAAGGTCGGAAAAGTTTTAAAAAACAAAATATCTATTTTTATGTTGTGGCGATGATTCAGCCGATCGATTTATGCTCCTAATCACAGTCTATCGATCTCATCTGGCATGATCTATAGACGGTAGAAATGGAGAAATGATGCACATTTCTACACTGTATACTTTAACAATCGTTCTAAATCCTGTTTGACAATACTTTGTTAAGTGATGTATTAACTTACACGTTGAATAAGTTCATTTTGTGTTTGTTCATATTGCTGTTTCAAATTTGTTAGTTCTTGATTTTCTTGATGTTGTTTATCAAGTTCAATTTTTAATTGATTTATTTGTTCAAGTTTACTTTCATTTTGTTGTTGTAGTTCTTCAAGATTTTTATTTAAGTGATTGAATTTCAATTCATATTCATTTATTTGTTCTTCCGTTTGATTTAATTCGTTATTTTTTGTATCATCTGAGAAAAAAAGCATATATCTTCAGAAGAGAATGTGTCAAAAAAAAACTACGAACGATATTTTTGTAATTCAATATTTTTTGTTTTGAGAATTTCAATTTGTTTGTCAAAATCTTGTTGCATTGTCATCATTAAATTATTTAATTCTTTTTCATTAGATTCTTTTTCTTCTTGTAAATTTGCCAATTCAGATTTAATATTTTCAATTTCATGTGAAGAAAGTTCTAGATCCTTTTCATATTCATCAATCTGTTGTTTATATTGTGATTCATGTTCATTAAGAATCATGTTATCGTTACGTTCTAAAATGAACATTAAAAGTGTGATTAACAACACAAAGAGGAAACACGAATTTACCTCTTTCATTTTGAAGTTTTTCATTATCTCGTTTTAAGGTATTGATAGTTTCATTGAATTGATTCTCGATAGTGTTTTTGTCTTCTCTTAATTTAATTAATTCAGATTGAAGAGTTTGTATTTCATCAAGTGATTGATGTTTCTTGGTTTCAAGCTCTTTTATCTGAGCTTGATAATGAGTTTCACGTTCATTCGTAGCCATATTCTGTGTACGATCTAGACGATAGAAAATGAGACAGACATTGGAAAAAGAAATGAATAATCAAACCTCGATCTTCTAATTCAGTTTGAAGTCTTTCAATGTCTTGTTTTAATAGAATGCTTGTATCCTCGAATTTCGATTTTTCTTCTAGTAATTCTGTTAATTGAGTTTGAATACGTTGACTTGCAAGAATAGCTTCTTCTAATTTATCTTCATAGTCTTTTCTTTGTTGTTCAAATTCTGATTCATGTTGATGTACAGTTTTTTCTTCTGTATGTTCGATGATTAAAAAAAGAAAGAAAAAACTCAACGGAATAACTAATAATAACTAACCTCGTTCATTTAATTCATCTATTTCAGTTTGAAGCTCTTTACAATGTCTTTCATGATCTTGTTTTAAGGAATCGATAGTTTCATTGAATTGATTTTCGATAGTGTTTTTGTCTTCTCTTAATTTAATTAATTCAGATTGAAGATGTTGTATTTCATCAAGTGATTGATGTTTCTTGGTTTCAAGTTCTTTTATCTGAGCTTGATAATGAGCTTCACGTTCATTCGTAGCCATATTCTGTGTACGATCTAGACGATAGAAAATGAGACAGACATTGGAAAAAGAAATGAATAAACAAACCTCGATCTTCTAATTCAGTTTGAAGCCTTTCAATGTCTTGTTTCAATAGAATACTTGTGTCCTCGAATTTCGATTTTTCTTCTAGTAATTCTGCTAATTGAGTTTGAATATGTTGACTTGCAAGAATAGCTTCTTCTAATTTATCTTCATAGTCTTTTCTTTGTTGTTCAAATTCTGATTCATGTTGATGTACAGTTTTTTCTTCTGTATGTTCGATGATTAAAAAAAGAAAGAAAAAACTCAATGGAATAACTAATAATAACTAACCTCGTTCATTTAATTCATCTATTTCAGTTTGAAGCTCTTTACAATGTCTTTCATGATCTTGTTGTAAGGAATCGATAGTTTCATTGAATTGATTTTCGATAGTGTTTTTGTCTTCTCTTAATTTAATTAATTCAGATTGAAGATTTTGTATTTCATCAAGTGATTGATGTTTCTTGGTTTCAAGTTCTTTTATCTGAGCCTGATAATGAGCTTCACGTTCATTCGTAGCCATATTCTGTGTACGATCTAGACGATAGGAAATGGGATGGACATTGGAAAAAGAAATGTATAATCAAACCTCGATCTTCTAATTCAGTTTGAAGCCTTTCAATGTCTTGTTTTAATAGAATACTTGTGTCCTCGAATTTCGATTTTTCTTCTAGTAATTCTGCTAATTGAGTTTGAGTACGTTGACTTGCAAGAATAGCTTCTTCTAGTTTATCTTCATAGTCTTTTCTTTGTTGTTCAAATTCTGATTCATGTTGATGTACAGTTTTTTCTTCTGTATATTCGATGATTTAAAAAAGAAAGAAAAAACTCAATGAAATAACTAATAATAACTAACCTCGTTCATTTAATTCATCTATTTCAGTTTGAAGCTCTTTACAATGTCTTTCATGATCTTGTTTTAAGGAATCGATAGTTTCATTGAATTGATTTTCGATAGTGTTTTTGTCTTCTCTTAATTTAATTAATTCAGATTGAAGATGTTGTATTTCATCAAGTGATTGATGTTTCTTGGTTTCAAGTTCTTTTATCTGAGCCTGATAATGAGCTTCACGTTCATTCGTAGCCATATTCGGTGTACGATCTAGACGATAGGAAATGGGATGGACATTGGAAAAAGAAATGTATAATCAAACCTCGATCTTCTAATTCAATTTGAAGTCTTTCAATGTCTTGTTTTAATAGAATGCTTGTTTCCTCGAATTTCGATTTTTCTTCTAGTAATTCTGTTAATTGAGTTTGAATATGTTGACTTGCAAGAATAGCCTCTTCTAATTTATCTTCATAGTCTTTTCTTTGTTGTTCAAATTCTGATTCACGTTGATGTATAGTTTTTTCTTCTGTATGTTCGATGATTTAAAAAAGA